GTGGTTGGGATAGATATATAGTTGCATTCTCTTAATGAATAGAATGATTTTTTCTAATGGTGTTTGTAAGTAGGATCACAAGTCTGCATCTTGTATAGCAATTAACCACTAAGGAGAATATATGCAGTGTATTATTTGTTAAAACTGTACTTTCGATTTGATTTGAAACTGTCTCATTGCTATATGTTTATCAATAAAACTTTGAAAAGAAAAAATAAAAAAAAAATTACAGTCTTTTTTTTTTTCTTTTTTCTTTTCAGAACCGGGGTGTGAACTTGCGCTTGCCAGGCAAGCACTTATCCTACTGAGCTATCTCCCCTGTCCCCTAATAATAATAATCAATTGCCATTTTGGGGGGGCAGGCTAGCACGGCAGGCCTGGGGATAGAACCCCTGGCCTCTGCACCTGCTTGCAGGTGCTTTAATCCACTGAGCTATTCTGCTAGCCCTCAAAATTGCAGTCTTTATGGGTCAAGGACAAGACAAAAAAATTAAGCAATCATTAGAAATGTTACTGAGTGAATATATCTTGATGAAGTGTTTATAATATTATCATTAAGATTAAAAGGCAGATACAAAAGCAGATACAAAAATATACACTATATAAAGCCAAGCATGTAAGAGCAAAGATAAATCCATTGAGGTAGAGAAAAGGAAAGAGAAGGAAGTCAGAGGAGCAGGAAAAAGAGAGAGGAGACAACCTAGAAGGACATACTCCAAAAAGTTAACAGTGGTTATCTCTGTGAGAAAGGATTAGAGTAATTTTAAATTTTCTTCTCCATCTTTTCCAGTGTCTGATTCTCCTAAGATTGAATTATTTTTAAAACTAAAATACAGACTTTTAGAAAGTAGTTTCATCAAAGTCAAGTGAATTTATTTAATGAACAAAACCCCCTAGTATACACTAAGATATTATTTAAAATAAAAAAGGATATCCTACCCAGACAGAAGCCCGAGAGAAGAACACCAGGAGCGATACAATGACAAAGTACCAAAGCAGGAAGCTCCCTATTGTCCGACAAGAGTCATCCTTCTGGCATTCGGAATCTTGGATTGGGTTGTAATGACCTAATGGTAGTGGGGGAGGGTCCACCTCCCAAAATAAGGACAAAAGGTTTCCCATGGTGGCTTCTTGTTTAGAAAAGAAAACATACTCAAAGGTGAATGGAAGCTATTTCACTCCCTACCACATGACAGCTACCTTGGCAACCAATTATGACATACGCTCAAGCAAGTGTTACTAGAACTAACTTCTTAGATTTCTAAGTTTTGGGAAGATTTCTCCAAATTACTTCTATCAAAAATTATGATATAGGTGCTGGACAAACAGGCTCTCCACATGCGGAAAACTAAAACTTGACCCAGGTCTATCACCATGCACTAAACTAAAGTCAAAATGGATTAAAGTCTAAACATTAAAGCAGAGACACTAAATCTCATGGAAGAGAAAGTAGGATGCAACTCTTGAACACATAGGGATAGGCAAAGAGTTCATGAACAAAAATCAAATCACACGGGAAATACTTGAAAGAATTAACAACTGGGACCTGCTCTTATTGAAGTTTTTGCATGTCAAAAGAAATTACCAACAAAGTGAAAAAAGGCAACCCACAAATTTGGAAAACATCATGACAAATAAGAACTCAGACAAAGGTCTGCTCTCTAAAATTCATAAAGAACTAAAAAACACTAGGGCCCCAAAATTTAAAGACCCAGTCCAGAAATGGGCATCCAAGGTGGACACACACTTCTCAGAGGGTGAAATTAAAGAAGCGAATAAATACTTGAAAAAATGCTCCACATCACTAGCCATCCATGAAATGCAAATTAAAACAACATTGAGATATTATCTCACCCCAGAAAGAATGGCCATCATAAAGAAATCAACCAAACAAATGTTGGAGAGGCTGTGGGGGAAAAGGAACCCTTTTCCATTGCTGATGGGAATGTAAACTGGTGCAATCATTATGGAAATCAGTGTGGAGACTCCTTAGAAAACTTGGACTGGAAATCCCATTTAATCCAGCTATTCCTCTACTGGGAATCTTCCTGGAGGATCTGAAAACATCATATCATAGAGATATATGTGTGTCTATGTTTATAGCAGCACAA